ATGGTCCCAATTTTAATTTGGAAGTTTTCAAATTAATTTTGCCTCGAGATTCGTGCTCGGTTAAGATAAATGTTTATGATATATCAGTTACCCCCCTATTTTCGAATGTCAAAACTTGCAAAATTTGAAAATATATGTCAAAAATTTTGGTGATTTTTTTTTTGCAACTTGAAACTCCAAAACATTAAAAGTGTCTGAAATTGATAATAGAAGTTCCGTTGAACTCAAAAGTGTCAAAATTGGATTCGAAACGTTGAAAAATGATTCCATAGACCACAAAAATGTTTGATTTGGACTATTTGAGCCAATTTTTTTATTTTTTTTTTCCGGTCGCTACAATACTCTTATACCTCATCTACTACAGTTCCATGGATCTTCCTGAGCTACAATAATTTTTATAATAGTTAAGTTGCTATAGTACGCTACAATACATCGCTACAATGTTTTTTGCAGCAATGATTCCTATTACTGTAACATCAATTTCTATTATGCAATCACATTAACTGGTGGTTGTGACACGCATTACTACAGCACCGAGCGTTTATTTTATTTTTAGAATCGCGTGAGGCGATTCTAAACACACTTAGGCGGGCGGTTACTTTAACTGCCCCATCTTTTTTTTTGTGGGCTTTACCCTCTTGTTTTTTTTTTAGAGAGAACATTTTTTTTCTATTTTTTTAGAGGATTTTTCTCTTCTTTTTTTTGGGAGAGAATTCTCTCTTTTTTAGAGTATTTTTTGAAATATTATTTGAATATTCTCATAATAATTTTTATTCTAGAATATTCTTGGGATCTCTTTAGAATATTCTTATTCATGCAAAATATTTCTCTCTTTTTTCACCTATAAATAGCTACTGAGATGAGAAAAATTACTCTTCTCCTTCTCCTTCTATCATATTCCTCTAACCTTCTTACAGTTGAGGCATTCCACTAACTTGAATAGGTGGCATCCCCCTATCAAGTACAATTGACCCTATCTAGTATAGAAGTTAAAGTTTTCATCCCTCCTCTCTTTTTCTCCTGTTTTTCTTCTGACTTTAGAGGCTTTCCATTATTTTTCATAGGGGGCATCCTCTATCCAAATTCAATGTCGCTCTTTAGTGTAGAATGATTCTTACAGTTGAGGCATTCCACTAACTTGAATAGGTGGCATCCCCCTATCAAGTACAATTGACAATATCTAGTATAGAAGTTAGAGTTTTCAGCCCTCCTCTCTTTTTTCTCTCTTTTTCTTCTGACTTTAGAGGCTTTCCATTATTTTTCATAGGGGGCATCCTCTATCCAAATTCAATGTCGCTCTTTAGTGTAGAATGAATTTTCTCCTCTTTCATTTTGGTTCTCCTCTAATTTTTCACTTACATTAAAGGCATTCATTTTACACTAAAAAGGGACATTGAATTTGGATAAGGGATGCCACCTATCAAAAATAATGAAAAGACTCTAAAGAAAGAAGAAAAATTAGAAATAAAAAGAGGAGGGCTGAAAACTATAACTTCTACACAAAAGAAGGGCAATTATACTTGATAGGGGATGCTAAACAATCAAGACAATGGAAGACCTCAACTATAAGAAAGTTAGAGGAAAATGGGAGAATGAAAAGAGGAGCATTTTTTCCCTTGCCTCAGGGGGGGGGGGCTATTTATACGTGAAAAAGAATGGATGAATATTCTGCATAAATAAAAATATTCCAAAGAGATTCCAAAAATATTCTAGAATAAGAATATTTTGAAAATATTCAAAAGAATACTCTAAAAAATATGAGAAAATTCTCCCAAAAAAAAGAAGAAAAAAAATCTCTCTAAAAAAGAAAAGAGAAAAAAATGTTATCTCAAAAACATAAAACATGGCAAAGCCCACAAAAAAGGAAGTGTTAAGAACCGCCTCACTTATTCTTTAAAAAAAAATTGGTACTGTAGCAATGTGTACTACAACGACCAGTTAATGCTGTTGCGGAATAAAAATTGTTGTATTATAGCAGGAATCACTATTGCAGGAGTTACTATAGCGCGGTACTGTAGTGTACTGTAGCAACTGAACTATTATAGAAATCATTGCATCACAGAAAGATCCGTGGCACTGTAGTAGATGAGCTGTAGGAGCGTAGTACTATAACGTACTGTAGCAACTAGAAAAAAATAGAAAAATTGGCTCAAACAATCCAAATCAAACATTTTTAAGGTCCCTGAAATTATTTTTCGACGTTCTGAATTCAATTTTAACACTTTTAGATCTTAACGGAGCCTCTATTATTAATTTCAGACACTTTTAAATGTTTTGGAGTTTCATGTTGCGATAAAAAAAATTCAACAAAATATGTGACATATTTTCGGACTCAACAAGCTTCGACGTCCGAAAATAGATGGACAATTAATATATCATAAAAAATTATCTTGATGGGCACGAATCTTGAGGCAAAATTAAGTTGAAAACTTTCAAAATTAAAATTGGGATAATTCGAACTCCGATTTCAACAAATTTATAGTCGAACTGAATGTCTTAAAAAGATGAACCCAATGACACCAAATTTGACTTAATCCGAGCCCACGTTCTGAATTCAATTTTAACACTTTTAGATCTTAACGGAGCCTCTATTATTAATTTCAGACACTTTTAAATGTTTTGGAGTTTCATGTTGCGATAAAAAAAATTCAACAAAATATGTGACATATTTTCGGACTCAACAAGCTTCGACGTCCGAAAATAGATGGACAATTAATATATCATAAAAAATTATCTTGATGGGCACGAATTTTGAGGCAAAATTAAGTTGAAAACTTTCAAAATTAAAATTAGGATAATTCGAACTCTGATTTCAACAAATTTATAATCGAACTGAATGTCTTGAAAAGATGAACCCAATGACACCAAATTTGACTTAATCCGAGCCCCTATGGGTCCAAATCGAAGACCCACAGCGCCTTTGGAAGGTTCAAACCATAATTTAGATTAACAAACAGTTTCCAAATGTGACGTTCTTATAGTTGAATCGAGTGGCTCGATGATACAAATCAAACGAGCCCAAGATCGTCAAATTCAAACATCACTAAGACATTTAAATTTATAATAAACAGTCCACGATTAAGGGAATCAACATCGGCCGTCCATCAAACCACTCCTAACATACCCTTAATCTCCTCCCTATTTATCGAATACCAACCACGCCACTCTTAGAAAAGTATACAAACCCCTCATTCCTCATGGAGGAGGGGAACCAATGAAAGGAAGAGAAGAAAGAAAATGAAGAGAATGAAGAAGAGAAAATTGAGTTCTCTTTCCACTAGACTCCTCGACCTCCGTCGGACTTCTACCCAGCAACCGACTGACGCCGGACTTCAACCCAGCTGATGACTGACGTCGGACTTCCACCCGACTAATGCCAGACTTAGGACTTCCACCTGGCCGTTGACTGATATTGTACTTTCGCCCGGTCACCAACAGTCGTCGAACTTCTTACTGGCCACTGACTGACGTTAGACTTTCGCCCATCCACCGACTGATGTCGGACTTTTGCCCGTCCACCGACTGACGTCGGACTTCCAACCAACCACCAATTAATGCCAGACTTATGCCCGGCCATAACTAACATTATACTTCGACCTGACTTCCAATTCTTATTGGACTTCCACCATACAATGATCTTTCTAACAACTGTCGGCTGCCTACTACAGTCCTTTCAACCTCCATCGCCAGACAATAGTCTTTCCGATATTCCTCATCCGCCGACCACGGTCCTTCTGACCTTCGTCGCCAGACAACGGTCTTTTCGACCTTTGTCGCCTTCCGACTATGGTAATTCCGACCTCCATCGCCCACCGACTACAGTCATTTCGACCTCCGTCGCCCGCCAATTACAGTCCTTCTGACCTCCATCATCAAACAACGATCTTTCCGACCTCCGTCGCCCGCCAATTACGATCTTTTTGACTTTCGTTGCCTGCCAACTATGGTCCTGCTGACCAAACAAACATATCAATACTAATTCTTCTAATTTCTACCATGTAATGCATTCTATATGATGTATATTTGTTACATCAAGTCAAGAATTTTCCTCTAATGAAGGGCCTCATTTGTAATCAACTATAAATATTAGTGGATTCATTCAAACTGGGCTAGGCCCCATAGTTTTTCTCCTTTTTAAAAATTTCCACATAAAAATGTTGGTGTCTCTTATAAATATTGCACCCTCTCTTTTATATAAATGTATGATGGATCTTCGTACAAAGCTAAGACGTTAAACTTTATATTTCTCTACTGCCTCGAATATTCCAAGATGCCACACTATGAAATCTTTGAAATGATTGTTTTATGGCGAGTTCACCATTATCCCAATAAGTTCATAATTAGCTTGGCAAATTCATGATGATCCTGGTGAATTCAACAAAAACAAGCTTATGATGGTCCGAACAAGTTCATATTGGACCAGTTGAGTTCACCATTTCCATTGTTTTGATTTGACCATATTTATCTTGAAACAGGCCAAGTTACCTTGGACTGAATCCTTTGAATATTTGGAAGTATAAAACTTATTATAATCAAAATAAATCAATAGTTAAAAAATAGAAATATAAAATGAACCAAATCAAAGTAAATGTAAAACCATACATACATAGGTTAATCAAATTTTGGAAATTTCCCATCATTCAGTTGACAAATGTGTTAAGCATTTAGTTAACAGTAGACATGGTATTTTGTGTACATGTATATGTATAAATATAGATTAGTTCATAACTACTGTTGAAAAATCTTATTTTCCCCTCATAGAAAAACAATAACATTCTCTTCCATATCGATTCAAACAAACGACATTAGAATTTTACTCGAAATCACCATATGCATGAGATCAACTTATTAACCAAAATGATATAAAATATTTGCTGTAAAATATAGCACAGAACATTAGAACATTTATATATAATCAGCATAACAATTCTCATAAAAGATGAAACAAAAATTCCCCTAATAAATATAATAATTTCACAGATAATAAAAATTCATGAACATACTTAATATAAAATCTATGATAAAACACCAAAAAATTGAAACACAAAATGCTCTGTTTGAGATATTCTACATCAAGTTTTGCACATTTTCATGCCACATAAAAACATATTTCCTCTCACATGTCAATTTTTTAGACCCCAATTAGACGAGAATTGAATTTAGGATATCTTGACTAAGTTTGTGCTAAACATAAAGCCAACGGCAAGCATGATATTTTGTGTACATGTATGAATAGATTAGTTCCTTGCTATAATAGCTCTAGATAAATCTATGTAGTCCCTCATAAGAAACATTAACATTCTCTTCCAAATCAATTCAAACAAAGGAAATTAGCATGTTACTCGAAAGGAATTGGAATACCTTGGTTCTTATTCACGATTGCCATTGCTAAATACCTATTGCCCATACCAATAGGTCTTTGCTCCTCAGTCCCATCCCAGAATGGAGATTCACCATCTCCCACCAATCTCCAGTAACCAGTCCTTAAGGACTCTGCTTGCTCTTCAGTGCAGTTCTTTAATAGGGCCTCAACTCTAAAGTTTATGCCGAGCGAACCTAAAAGCTGGGACTGGGTGATTGGACCATAAACTGATATATTTTCTGACAAATAGATGAGTATTAGGTCAAAATATGCTCTAAAAATGCAAATGATTCTAATATATATAGCTCTTTCAGAGAAAAGCACCTGAAGCTTCTTCAGCAGAGTGCTGGATAGCAGCAAAATCAACATAAGCACTAAGATCAGCTGAACCAGGATCATCGAGAATATGAACAAATTTATGTTTTCGGATAGCCTGCACAACAAAAGGAAAATTGAGGTTCATTTCCTACATTTTAAGTGGAGCATATATAGATGGTTTGCTCATAACTGTCTTAAAGTGGAAGTGCAATATACAGATAATGTATCAAAATTTATATTCCATTCATTTTAAACAGGTTCACTGTATCTAAATTCCAGGGATATCCTGGCCCAATTTTTTTCCCTTACCATGGCCTCATATAGATGGCAGACTCCTAAAGAAGAAAAATTAATTAGAATTGTTTATTAGCTAACTTATTTATTCATCTAGATTCAAATAAATTTCTGCAGGTTTTCACTGGCTGGAGGTTGGGATTTGGATGCTAATGCTCTTTGTTCTTATGAATAGGCAAATAGGAAATTTCTGTTTGAGTCCCTCGATCTGCTGTCTTCAAAATGACAATTTTTTTTTGAGTCCCTCGATCTGCTGTCTTCATAATGAAAAGTGTAGCTTTGTATGGTAACCAACTATGTTGATCATTAGCAGAGTAAGAGTTTTCAAATCTAAAATCACAATAAAACTAAGAGTTCCAAGTTTTATTTTGTGGGAAAAAAGGAACAATTATGGCATCTTTGCATAAATCACACGAAAAAAAAAAGACTAGTATCACCGTATCCAAATTATATTACTTCCACTGTTTTTAAAGGGGACCACAACCTTTTTTTTTTTTTTTTTTTTTTTGCAAAAATAGAAAGGGTGAAGTGAAGAGGAACTTCAGGCTGAAGAAGGCAAATCTTCTATAATTAAAATGATTGAAGTTTGATTAATAAAACTGATAGGAAGTGCTTGTAAAAAGCCTATCTCCCTTGACTGAAATTAAATTACAGCAATCCCAAACACAATCTCCAAGACGAATTAAGAGCAATAATAAGAGAATACTCTTTTTAATTAATGATATATGGAAGAAAACAACACGACATAATGGATCTTCTATTGGAGAGGAAGATCCAGCTCTCCCAAATCCCTAGCCGCCAACTAGAGCCCAAAACTCTCTAAGAACAATCTAAATTCAACAAATAACCTCATAATCCCAAAATCACCCTATTGTTAGCCTTAAATAGGCTCCCCTAATTCCCTCCCAAATCAGTCCCCATTCCCTAAATAATTTCCTCATATTTGAATTCAAATCAAATCCCTTGACCTAATAATTCCCTCTCAATTGTGATTAAAAATTTCCAAAACAATTCCCCCTTGATTCCTTCCTTTCCCTAAATAATTTCCTCTTAGATTTTGAATTCAAATTAGATTTTTACCTTAAATAATTCCCTCTCAATTGTAATTAAAACTTTCCTAAATAATTAATCTTTGATTAAGAACCTTCCAAAATAGTTCCCTCTTGATTATAAAACTTTTTAATTCCCTCTCAAACAAATCGGCCGGTCCATCAAAACTCCCCGCCCAAAGTGTCACCTTGTCCTCAAGGTGAAACAAAGGAAACTGTTGCAGAAGCACTGGACTGTCACTATGTCGAATGATCCCTGCCTCCAGCATCTCTTTGATTAATCTCTCAATCTCTTCGTTCTGGATTTAGGAATGACGGTACAGGCAAACTAATAGGCGAGACTCCTTCCTTCAAGATGATAGCATGCTCGCGTTCCTGCGGAGACAACCCCTGAACTAGTTGGAACATCCATCGATACTGCTGTAGGGGTAGCTAAATAATGTTTGGTACTTCTATCTTCTTCCAATCCTTTTCTCCTTCCAAACTTTGCAGCTCCACCAAAAATCCCACTCATTCACCATTACCCCTCCTTGGAAGTGGCTCCAAAGGTGGCATCTCCTCTTCTTCCCCAAACATTTCCACCTCCTGATCTTCTATCTCCTTATCGGATTAGGGTTTCCTTCAATCCCTTGGCTGGCGGCGGCTCCCCCAGCCTCAGACAACACCATTTTGGTTTGGAACTTGAGCATCTTCCTCATCATCTCCTTCATGATGGCAAACTTCTCATTAATTTTCTCATGGATGGCTGAAAATTATTTTTTGAAATCTGAAATCTTTTCTACAAAATCATATTTAAATTGTCTGATCTCCCCTTCCCGCATTTCAACATTTCTTCCTGCCATAGGTACTCGGATCTAGACACTAAATAGTAAAATAAACAACAAAAAACAACGAATCTGGTCTTCCAACAGCAAAAATTAGCAAGATGGAGGGAACAAACACAACAAAAATTAGCGAGGAAGACTTATATTTCAACCTAAGACACGACTCTGATACCAATTTGATGCGTCATGGAAGAAAAACAGCAAGTAGATAGAAAGAAAATTGCAGGAATCAAATATTGGTTAGGGTTAGTAATCGGAACCGTCAGTGGGGTTTTGGATTGCATCTCCATAAGCTTACTCATCATCTCCTCCATAATTTCTTTTCCCTTTGGTTCAGTCCTAGGAATCATCGGTGAAGCTTTCAACGGCATCTAGATCATTTTCTTCATCATATCATTCAAGTTTTCAAAACGGTTCTCTATGGATGAGAGTCTTTCTTCCATGTTTGAAAACTTCCCTTCAATGGTTGAGAACATCCCTCCACCCTGGATTTGATTTGCTCCACTTTGCCATTCAACAAATCCACATTCTTTATTGCCATCTCTCCAAAACCTCGCTCTGATATCAATTTGATAGGAAGTGCTTGTAAAATTCCTATCTCCCTTAGCTGAAATTAAATTACAGCAATCACAAACACAATCTCCAAGATGAATTAAGAGTAATAATAAGAGAAAACTCTTTTAAATTGATGATATACTGAGAAAAACAACAAGATACAATAGATCTTCTAATGGAGAGGAAGATCCGGCTCTCCCAAATCCATAGCTGCGAGCCCAAAACTCCCTAAGAATAATCTAAATTCAGCAAATACCTCATAATCCTAAAATCACCCTTTTGTTAGTCTTAAATAGGTTATCCTAAATCAGCCCCCTTTCCCTAAATAATTCCCTCTCATATTTGGGGATGTAGCTCAAACGAAAAAGAAAAGAAAAAAAAATTCCCTCTCATATTTGAATTCCAATCAGATCTCTTGCCCTAAATAATTTCCTCTAAATTGTAATTAAAACTTTCCTAAACAATTCCCCCTTGATTCCTCCTCCCTTTCCCTACATAATTCCATCTTAGATTTTGAATTCAAATTAGATATCTTGCCATAAATAATTCCCTCCCAATTGTATTAAAACTTTCCTAAACAATTCTCCTTTGGTTAAAAACCTTCCTAAACAGTTCCCTCTTGATTAAGAAACTTTTTAATTCCCTCCCAATCAAATCATCTGGTCCATCAAAAACCCATATCAATTTAGTGCCAAATAAAAAATATCTTCCACACAATTTAATAGCAAGACAAATTAAACATAAAACCATCTATCATGCATAAATAACTAAAAAAACATATTTTTTCTACTTTTACCATGATATGATCATATAATAGCTGTGATCAGAAGGTGAACTACTAAAAAGAAAAAAAAGGAGGGATTTTGAGCGAATTAAATTGTTAACTTACATAACATATGCATGCTTCGATATCCCTCTCAATTGGAATAATGATTTTGCAAATTTTCATGCAAATATAAAAACTCGCATGATAAATTCATTTATAGCTCGCATAATTGATTTAATTCATTTATAAAACTCTCTTGATAATTATAATAAATTATATAAAACTCCCATGATAATTTTCATAATTTTCAGACTCTCGTAATAATTTTCATTTTTGTTCTACATCATATTCTCAACTTCCTCAAGAATTCTACTCTTGGAATAATTAAATGGATGGAAAAGAAAAAGATATGAATGCAAGAAGATTAAAAAATAAAAGAAACATGCAAATGCAAATCGATCAAATATGTAATATTAATTAGATAATCACTAAAACTTCCTTGGAAAATTTAAAAAAAAAAAAATTAGTCAAATCTACCAAGCAAATGTGCAATCAAGGTCACCAAATCAAAGATGCACACAAAGTGAATGAGATTGAAAAAGAAAAATTTCCATAATGTTGAAGAAAAATAGTCAAAGGGAATGGAAAATTTGGAAGAGACCAAGGGTAAAACCCCATGTATTGATTTGAAAATGCACACCAAAATAATCATTGCATGCATGCAAGTGGGTCTTTTTTGCTCAAATACCAAATGATAGGAATTTGGTTATAGGTGGAGGATAAAAACCATCATTTTGTTCAAATATGAAAAAATGAAACGATGGTTCTAATAATAGCCATACTTAAGGACAAAATAATTCGAAGGCAAATCATTTCATTCTATTTTCATGTTTTAACATGATACCATGATGCATGTTAATAAGCATTACAAAAATCAAAAGTGGCAAGGCAGGAAAAAATTAATTAATTTATTCGCATGTTTTTCTTTGTTTTGCAACTTGAATTAGCCAAACCATCTTGATGACATGGGTAATTCCAAGCATTTCTTCCACCTTGGCCAAATATTGGTTACGGAGTTCAGTAACTTCCATGCATTTCTTAAATTTTATAAGTCTTTCATATAAATGTGTCTTCATAAAAACTTGAAGCACCAAAAAAATCATGCTTTGAAAAATGAAAAATTGAACTTGATCTTCCCTCGGCCAAATTTGACATGACGTGTTGGTAATGTGGAATAATTATTAAAGATCATCAAAATTCAAGCTTTGAAAATGCAAATTTGACTAATGATCAACCCTTGCCAATTTTTGTCATGGTGGCAGGATTTTCAAGCCTTCATGCAAATATAATGATAATATTATTAAAGCTCACATAATGATTTTTCAATCTTTCATGCAAATATAATCGAAATATTAAAGATTACATAATTGATTTAATTAATTTATGATACTCTCCTAATAATTATAATTAATTATAATGACAATTTTCACAATCTTCAAACTCTCAAAATAATTTTCATGTTTTTGTTAGACATCATTATGCATCTAGGTGGGATTTGGTATCGTCTATAATTGAGTTTGCATACACTTTTTTTGTTAATAGATCTGCAGGCATGTATCCATTTGAG